CCCCCCCCCCCAAACCAGCAGTGACCCCCAAGGGGAAACTTTAAACCGCTTTTATTTTTGTCCCCACTCCTCCTTCCCAGCCAGGTAAGTGCTTGGGTTTTGTTTGGGTTGGGTTTGCTCGGTTTCGTATTTATTTGTTATTTATTTATATATATGTATTTTAAATGAGGCAGATTTAAAAGCCGGCCGGTGCTGTTTCTTCTTTTTTTTTTCTCTCTGTCGTTTATTATGATTTTTCGCCTCCTGCTCGGCCCATGGAAATAAATCGCAGGGGGGGCCGCCCCAGCGAGTGGTTTCCTCTGCAAGGCCCCACGCGCCATGGAGGAGGTTTCCTCTGGAAATCCCACCGCCACCCCCCTCAAAAACACATATACAAAGAGAGGCCGAGAAGGGGGCTGGATTTTGCTGCGAAATGTGGTTTTTTTTTTGCCCAGGTCTCCACTGGTGCCGACTAGGCCCCACGCCGGGCGGCGAATCCTGCAGGGCTCAGCAGGAAAGTGAGGCGGCGAGCGGGACGTGTGTGTGTTTTGTTCCCAGGCAGCATTTCCCAGATCAAAACCGGACTTTTTTTTTCCTGCCCTGGAAGTTTTAGGGAAGCAGAAAGTGCGATCAGGGGCGGCTGCGCCGGGACCCGCTCCGTGTCTTGCCCCATGGGGCTGCGTGCGCCCTCAGAGGTCGTTTTTTGCTGTTTTCTCGGGGTTACGGCGCTCCGTTTTTAAAATGGAAGCGGGTGTCTTGTCCGGCTGTGCCACGCTTGTGCCCGGAGCCGCTCCCCGCGTGCCGGCGTCTCCACGCTCCCACTTTCGTTTTGGAGGTGGGAAAACCGGGCCCTTTTATTTAGCATCATTTTAGCTCCATTGTTTTCGTGAGCTTCCGGCCAGAATCATTCCTGCCGCGGCCGCAGCGGCATCGCTCGGATCATGAGACCGTTGACGTTGCGGGTTTGTTTGGGTCAAGTGAAAGCTCGGCCGGGCCGTGCAGGGACGCACGCGGCGCCCGGTGTTTTCGCCTGGCTCGTGATGTTTTTTAACGCCAGCGCGTGGTTTATTTAGGAGTCGGGATGAAACAAATGCCGAGGCGCTGTCATCGTGGAGCAACTCGCTTGGGGGACTCGCTTTCCAGCAGTGCTTTTGCCAGCACCGTTGAGCTCGGTGGCAGATGGGAGGCTGGCTGTGCTGGGGGAATTGGAAGAAGAGGCCCCCCTCCCATCCCCCCTCATGTCGCTTGCAGAAAGTTTGGGCTTCCCTCTGGGAAATCCCAAAGGAAGGGGCAGATCCAGTGCCCAAGGAGCCAGTAGGCACGCAATGGGACACTGAAGCTTTTATTTATAGCAGTGCGTGTTTTGGAAACGCCGACTTTACCCCGTGCAAACTCCTTAGCTTTTAAAGCAACGAGCTGTCCTCATCTCCCACACAAATGCCGCAATCCCGGGTGACTCCGCTCAGGTATCCGGCTGTTTTCCCTTCCACGTGCTTCCGGATAGTGACCCAAACCTGTTACCTTGCAAAAGCAGCGCTTTGGGAGCATAGTTCATTGGTGCCTTGCTGAAGTGCATCAGGGTCATCTGAGTTCAGCTGTATTTTTAGCCCGTTTTGTCTTTTCCTTTTCCTTTCCTTTTCCTTTCCTTTTCCTTTCCTTTTCCTTTCCTTTTCCTTTCCTTTTCCTTTCCTTTTCCTTTCCTTTTCCTTTC